ACGCGGCACTCGCGTCGACTGCCTGTCGAGCCGCGCTGCGGGCTCGGTCTCCGACGCCCCCGCCAAGCACCTGGGCAAGAGTCGACAGCCCAGCGGGGCCGCTGGCAACGGTCCGTCTCCCGAGCGCGCTTCCAATGATGCCGCCGCCGCGCGGGCCCCCAGCTTGCGAATTGGAGCGCCCGTCGCAGCGGCCCAGCGAGACAAGGCGCGCGGCGTCGACGTCATCTGCTCCACAAGGCCACGCTCGGCTCAAGGGCTTCCCGGGCCCCGGTCGCGCCTGCCATTTCCGCGCAGACGCCGCGCGGCAGCCGTGTCTCACTCGCTGCGGATGCTTGCCAGTAAGGCACCCGCGATGGCACCGAGCCCGCCAAGTGCGCCCCCCCCCCAGAAGTGCCGGCCACGGCACTCTCGGAAGATGCTCAGCCGTTCGCCGAGCTCGACGAGGAAATTGCGTGCTTCGCGTGCACGCGGCACCATGCGGTCACCGTCGCACCTCGTTCAGCGTCTACGCGATGGGCCCCGAGCTTCGCGCGGAATTCACATTCGAAACGCGAGGAACGCACGGCTGGGCGCGTGATCCCAGGCCCGCGCAGTCGAGCGCCCCGCTGAGCATCGCGCTCGTGATGTCCACAGCGAATCTCCACCACCTCTGGAATTCGTGGGGCCCCCAGCAGCTAGACGAATGTAGGCGTTAGTGGACTCTGACAATCGCGGGGTACTGGCGCGGATTCGGTCAGGATCCGCTGGCCGAGCTCGACGGCGCACCGCTCGGCGCACCTTCGTCCGAGAGCCGTCCGCCTAGCTGCCAGCGGCCGGCGGCGCTGTCGCCGCGCGCGCCGCGCCCCCCTACGCCTCTGGGCGAGCGCCTGCGGCGCGCTCCACCTCGTCGCCGCCACTCGCCAGAGGATCAGTCCCAGTCACGGTCTTGCGAGGCTGAATGCCGCGAGGCCAGAGCGGCGCACGGTTCGGGCTGGAGAGACCGACGTTGCTTCTCCCGCCGCCCCCGCGCCCCTTCTGGACAGAAAAGAGCGAGGGCCGCGGCGCCCGCCGGCCCCCGATGGGCGCGCCGCCGCGATGGCCAGCAAGGGCGCGGCCAAGCACAGAGGCGAGAGCGAGACCGCGCCGGACGACGCCGCCGACCCTCCCAAGAAGCAGAAAAAGACCCGCGGGGCTGGGGAGAAGGTCCAGCGCGGGCGCGCCAGCGCGGCCCTCCGCGCGGCCGGCGCCGACGAGCCGAGGCAGCCGCCTTCGCCCAGTGGCGGCGCCGAGCCCGGCACGCCCATCGAGGAGGTCGCCGACGGTGGTCGCGTTCGGAGCGGCGCCCGCTGATCGTGAGGCCATCGTGCAGAACTCGTTAGCACATCCTTCAAGCTCTCTCTCTCTCTCTCTCTCTCTCTCTCTCGTTCTTATATATATATATATATATATATATATATATGTATACATATATATATATGCTCACACCCCCCCCCCCCCCAAGATCCCTATTTTCCGTGCTCTGTTCTGCTTTCCTCTCTTCGTCCTCCTCCTCTTTCTCATCCTCCTCCTTTCCCCCCCCATCCTCTCCCCTCATACTTTCTCCTCCTTTTGCTCTATTCATATCTCTCTGGTCTTCCTCCTCCTCCTCCTCCTCGTTATCATCCCTGTCCTATCTTTTTGTTTCTGTACTTCCTGGATTAATCCAGGGCTCGGCGGTTTAATCCACCTCTCCTTCCCCCCTCCTCCCTTCCCTCCTCCTAGAGAGGGGAAGCACGCTCGGTGCCCTTCCGCCAATCCGTTTCGGCGTCCAGGGACCGTTTTCGGGCCCCAGAACCATCAAAAACGACCCAGAGCGAAAAACCATCCCAAGGAAAAGGGTGTGGACCTCTGGGGCCGCGGATTTCCTCATGGCTCCAGGCGATTCCCCTTTTCCTACTCCTCCTCCGCCTTCAACTTCCCCCCCCCCTCCTCCTACTCGCCCCACCCTGTCCGTAGCCATCATCGGCTCAAGTTGCCCCCGCGCGGGCTGATCCGAAGATTTGTGTCGAAGTCTCACAGCAGGTATGAACACCTCGATTGCGGTATCTGGTCGCGTTGTGTTGACCCGTGATGGTAAACGGGCGCGCCTGGATTTGAGCGTTGGCAATCCGTCAGAACCCTCGGGCTCGGCAGCTGCTGACATCATCCGCCTCTTGGAGCCGGCTGCCCCTTCGGGGCCGCCCGTTGCCCCCGTGCCGGTCGCGGACCGCGTCCGCCCGCGCGTTGTGGATGTTATTGGTGACGTGAACGCAGGGCGCTTGACCGTGCACCCGTCGAAGACCGACCTCTTACTGAAGGAGGTGAACAACCAGATGAATTACATACAGGCGTCTTGCGGAATGCAGCGCCGCCAGGAAGGCCAATGGAGTGAAGCAACCCAGAACAAGCTCGTCGCCTGGCTCAACAAGCGCAGGCAAAAGGGAAAGGTCCCTGACGGCCCCCCTGCACGTGAGGCGCCCCCTTGCCCACCCTCGCGGCGTTTGCTGCGAACTACAAGAAGTGGCGCGCGTTCCTCGCGGCTTACATGCACGCGACAGCGAAAGAGGCGAAGAAGCTTCTCATCAAAATCGTGCATTTGGGGAAGCCGGCGTGCGATCTCCCGTTTCTGTGGAACCTCGCCGTCGACATGCACAAAGCTGTGGATATGCTTCTGTCGCGCGAGAAATTCAGGTACTTGGACGGTCGTTTCGAGAACCGCCGCTGCCCCGCCGCATCCAAGCTTCACTACGCCTTGAGCTCTGTGGAGGATTCCATCTTGTCTGACTTAGAGACGGAGGTGACCTCTGTGAACGGCGTGACCGTCAACACTTACATGTTTGATGGCGCTGTGTTCTTGATGCCCGAGGATGCCATGGACGACCTCCGCGCGGCGGTGAAAACCGTCGCTGCCAAGTGGGGCTTGTCGATGTCTGTGGTGACGATCGATGGTGACGATGCG